CTGAGATTTGAACCAGAACTGACTCCAAAATGCCAAGAATTTAGGAATTTAGGGACTAAGATTACTCTCTTTTTTCCCCAAAGAAAGGTTTTTAGATGCATATCCTCTGCCTGTGTCTCTCTATATGTCCAGCACCCCTAAGAAGTAAGAATTCTTACCTAAGAGGTAAGAATCCCTAAGAGGGATTCTTAAAGTTTTTGTTTTCTGATGTCCATGTTTAATTTTACCCCAGTGGACTGCTCAGGATTGGTGTTCTTGGTACTTATCAGAATATTTGTTATTATAATCAGGCAGTCTTTGTTCCAAAACCTGACTCTACCAGATTTACTGTTCTGTAAACCTAAGCACATGTCTTAGACTTTATGAGCTTCTGTTTCTCCATCTGTAAAATGGGGATATTGATACTCACTTTAGTAGGGCTTTTGGGGGGATTGAGAGACATAATATATGTAAAATACTTAGAATAGTGTTAGCTAATATTAGGAAGTGGCCTTAACTTTCTGCAAGACCCAACGGTACCACCAGAGAAAGCCCTTTCCTGGGAATGTGTCACCCAAATTTTATCATCCTTTTAACATTGAGAAGACATGCTTGTGTTGCTTGGTGGGGAAAATACTGAAAGTTGTATAGTGCCTCTTCCTCTTCTTCATAATTTCCCATCCACATGGACAGGAACAAACTCATTGTGTTTTACCAATCAGGACTTGGAACTTAAACAATATTTGTTACTTATAGTAAAGCCTGATTAATTAGAACTCTTAACCAGAACCCTTAATTAACTGGCTTTTTTTTCTCTGTGTCCACTTCTCTTTAAGAAAAAGAAGGAGGCCAGGCACGGTGGCTCACGCCTGTAATCCCAGCACTTTGGGAGGCCAAGGCGGGCATATCACCTGAGGTCAGGAGTTTGAGACCAGCCTGGCCAACATGGCGAAACCCCATCTCTACTAAAAATACAAAAACATGAGCTGGGCATCGTGCACCTGTAATCCCAGTTACCTAGGAAGCTGAGGAGAGAGAATTGCTGGAACCCAGCGGGCAGAGGTTGCAGTGAGCTGAGATTGTGCTACTGCACTCCAGCCTGGGCAACAGGGCAAGACTCTGTCTCAAAAAAAAGAAGAAGGAGAAGGAGAAGCAAAATGATAAGAAAAGTTAGAGTTATTACTGGAGAGTTATGGCTGGCCCATGGTTAAAATGTACTATGCCCCCTGCACATGTATCCCCTGCCCCAGGATTTAGCCTCGTCTGCCTCTCCATCACGTCTCCAAGAGCCTGGCAGAGCTCCTCATACTTAGGGAGTGCTCAGCAAATCTTTGTTGGACAAATGAAGACATCACCTATGTTCTAGCTACACTTCACTATTGCTGTTCTTTACACATGCTCTCAATTTTCCTCTTCCCTGCCTTTGTTTATACTGAAATTATTTCTCTCAGTCCTATCAGAGGTGGACTTTGGGATGGAGTTATTTGTGCCTTGTCTTGTCTTGCTTATAAGGCAGTAGGTTCCTTGTAGACATCAGTTCTGTTTTCTTCATTTTTGAAGAAACACTGCATTTGATACATCATATGTTAACAGTTATCTAGCACTTGCAGTGGACTCAGTAAATGTGAGTTATATCTATTTCTTTATTTAATGCTCATATCACCTTTACAAGATATGTACTATTATTATTTCCATTTAATATATGGGAAACCTGAAGCTTCAAGGAACGAAATAACCAATATCTCTGGACAGTTTGTTGAATTCAATAGAATTAAATTTGGTCTCTAAGATCTTACATGTACACAGCCTTGCCCATAGGACCTGCAGTCCCAAAGGATGTCTTTAAAACATTTTTCTTTTAATAGAGAGGGGGCCTCACTTGATTGACCAGGCTGGTCTTGAACCCCTGGCCTCAAATGATCTTCCTGCTGAAGGCTTCTAAAGTGTTAGGATTATAGGTGTGAGCCACTGTGCCTGGCCCCAAGCCATATCTTGATGATAAAGAAACTCTTCTCTGTTAAAGAGTGGTGCTGCCTATAGAACTGGACTTTGCAAAGCAGGAATACAGGCTGATAATATTCATCCTTCATTTCTAAAGAGTTTCTTAAAGATCTCAAAATGAATTAATATATATTACCATCTTTGGGCTTCAAAGCAATCTTGAAACCTATGTCAGGTATTATGATTGCCTTTTATGGGTAAGCATGCCAAAGCCTAGGAAGAAGTGACTGTAAGAAGTGAACCCAGGTCTTCTGATCCTTAGTGAAGGCTCTTCATTACATTCTCCATTAATATATTAAAAGCAAAGCAAAACAAACAAAAAACCCCAAATAACTGTTCAAAATAGAAGATGATTCAGGAAGGTGTCTTCTGGGAGCAAAGTGGGTTCTTTCCAGGAAGCAGCTGTGGAGGGGGCTGACTGGAATACAAAGTCTTCTGGGGAAATCCTATTTCCCAGGAAATGGGTTTAGCTGGAACATCCTGTTTCTCTTTTCTATCCTGTTGTTTCTTGAGTGCTGCTAACAGAGAGGGGATCCTGGTCCAAAGACTCTGTGGGCTACCCCTGTCTCCTCAGACTAAAGGGAGAAAGGAAGGCATTTTCCTCTTTGATCCCTTTCTTTGTTTTTTTTCTGCTCATGCCCTACAAACCTCCCAGATACATGGGTGCCAGCCCTGGGTGGGAAGCTGCTGCCTGTTATTTCTCTTGTTCCCCCTTCCCTATCAGACACTGCTTCCTGGAGGGATTTCTGAATGGGATTTCAGTGGAAGGTTCCAGATGGGCAGAGAAGCAGCCCATTTCAGAAAGAAGGGGTTTAGATTTAAACCCTGCAGCGGGGGAGGGATAGAGAGATGGAGGCGGGTGCTGACTACTTTCTGTCTTGATTTATCTCAAGGATTTCTAATTTATTCCCCACATCACCTAGAATATACATTACTGCACTTCCTTTATCTTCTCTTTCAGAATCTAAGCCTATCTACAGCCTTATGAGCTCTAAGGACATTTTTATTTCATAGCATAGAATTTTACTTTCTTACTTCCTCTTGTTCTTTTTCCTTCTCCAACTGTCAGTTTTTTGGTCAACCAAAGATAAATGTGGGAAGGCCAGATGTGGCTCTGGGGAAGAGATGTTGGTGCTGGTTTGTGGGACTCTCCTGAGAACCATGTGGTCCTGCTGAGCTCAGCTTTGGCTGGTCCAGAGAGGCTCAATGTCCTGTGCTTGGTCATGGTGTGGTGGCTTGTGCGGTGACTGCTTTTTCTATCTGCTATTTCTTGGGTGTTACCAACTGACAGGGGACTGTGGTACAAAGACTTCCTGGACCAGAAAGGGAATGGAGGGAGAATCTAGTACTTTCCCAGCCTCCAGCCCAACAATAAATTTCATCATCCAAAGAAGGTTGCTCTCTTGCTTTTATTTTAAGATCTTTAGGAATGAACGCTAAAAAATTAATACTATCTAGTCTTAAATATTTCCACAGTTAAGAAGGATTTTTGAATGTTTAACTTAAAAACTAAAGGCTTTTTTTGTATTGATATACAGAGAAGCAAAGACCAGTGTCTTACCATATTGACGCTTTGTGGGTGGTTATCCTGGCAGGCCCCATGGACCATAGCAGCCAGGGAACGCCTCAGCCCAGAAGCTAAGCAGGGTCAAGCTTGAGGGAGGCTCGGATGGGGGACCGCCTGGGGAGACCAGTGGTTGACAGTTTCTTCCCTTCATAAAGTAACTGACTTTTGGATTTGTCTTATTATGTTTAAACATTCCTGAGTTTCAAGATGGACAACCTTTGGTTGTGACTATGACAATATCAATAGGCTGGTGTGGAGCAAGTGGGGAGTCCTATTTTGTCCAGTGGAAGATGGAAAATATTGTTTATAACTCAGTCTGTGAGAGTAAACTATTAATGTTTAGGGAATCTGGATGAAAGTAGAAATTTGTAAGAGAATTCTTTGGGTCTGAAGTTGTTTCAATATAACAAGTTAGAAATGATTTTCACAAGAAATGATTTCAATCTTAAATTCTTTGTTTGATTTTTATGAAGTTGATGAAGTCAGGGGCAGTGGCTTGTGCCTATAGTCTCAGCTGTTCAGGAGGCTGAGGCAGGAGGATCACTTGAGCCTAGGAGGTCATGATCAGCCTGGGCAATATAGCAATGATGCCATTGGCCCAAAATCATAATTATAAATGGCAAAGCCAGGATTTGAACCAGCCTCCTTCTTTCTGAAGTAGATGATGACATTTCATTGAGTTTAATGCTCTGGACATAGCAGGATAATGGCCTGGATAAATGTCAGGGTAGGACGTGTCCCTGGCATTTCCCTTTTGTGGACTTTAGGCCTGTGGGTTTTATCTTATTCTAGTTGTCACCAGATTCCCCTGTGTCTTACACTTCCATAGCCCTGGCTCCATGGACTATTCCTAGGGGTGGTGGGGCCACCCTATTGCCACCTGGATGAATGCTTAGTTGGGCCTCCTCATGAACCAGAGACTCACAATAGTAGGCTTGACTTTGGGCAAGAAAGGATGATCACATCTTCCAACCTTCTAATGTTGACTTCCTATAAGAACCTCCAGAGACCTCTCAGACACACAGCAGTCCTGACCCATTTTTGTTTGGCTGAGCTTCAGGGTGCACTGTCTGTGACTCTACCAGCTTGTACCCTGAGGAGAAATGAGCTCAATTATGGAGGCAGGTCCCAGTGAGGCTTTTCTGCAATGCTATTATTAATCTCATGGAGCATGGAAAAAATATAAAGTCAGATCTGTCTGCCCCATTTTCATCTTTGTTGATGTTCAGGACAGAGGATCATAGTGGGTGATACCATCACTGCTGAATTAAAAGGTGAGTTTCCCTCCAGCCATGATGTCTCTGCCTTTCTTTCGCTCCATTTCCCTCCACGGCCCCCCTGACCCCCTTTAGGACTCTACTGTGAATCCCACAGATTGTCATGGAAGGGCAGGAGTATGTTATAACTTTGTTTTTTAAACTTCTGCTTTTTTTTTTTTTTTTTTTTGGAACAGAGCAGCACTTTCCAGAGGTGATGCTAGGAGAAGAGTTTCTTAGCCTGAGTCTGGACCAGGTATGCAGCTTGATATCCAGCGACAAGCTGACCGTCTCTTCAGAAGAGAAGGTATGGCATGGCTCATTGGGAAAACGGGAGCCTCACTTGTCAGGTGGTCATGGGAGGGGCTTGTGGTTTGGTGAGATCTTTTCTTTCAGAGAAAAATAACAGCTTTTAAGAAAAATCCTTTTAAAAATTAAAAAAAAGGCTTTCTGGCTCATGACCATTACATTCTAGACCCTTTAGAGAAGAAATGACAGTGGTGGTGATGATGACGAAGCTGCCACTATTTACTGAACACTTACAGTTCGCCAAACACTGTGCTAAGTGCTTTATGTTCTTGGGCTCATTCCACCTCTGCCGTAGCCTTGTGAAGCAGGCACTGCTGTTGTCCCTGTACTACAGAAGAGGAAGCAAATTCAGATTCCTCTTCTACCAGGAAAAATTTCTTTACGCCGGTAGATGTAGTCTACTATAGTGAGATACCATAAGCTTCAGTGTTGGCCAGCAGGGTCCAAACCTCAGCTCCGGTATTGACAAATTAGTTATGTGACCTTGGGTGAGGTTCTTTGCCTCTCCTTTGTTTCCTCGTGTTGTAAAGTGAGGATAATAGTATTAGAACATATTCCACAGGGCAGTTCATTGGGGTAATATATGTAAAATGCCTGGTATAGTACTTGGTACCTAGTAGGTATTCAATCACTATTATATCCTGCAAACTGAAATCCTGAAATCCTGTTATCCTGAAACACTCACCATCTTCTCCTTTTCATTGTACATAGTTAGTTCTGAGCTGATCTTCCTCCCACATTCAACTGAGTTCCTTTATGGTAGGGACTACATCTTATTCCTTTCTGCATCCTCAGAGATGCTCAATACATGTTTTCTGAATGTCTTAGTTCACTCTTTGCATCCAAGCTTGGGGCTCTTTCTTGAGGGAATATTTAAGGAAAAACATTGAAAAGGATTTTGTATCTGAGAAGAAATTGCATTCACATGTCCAGAGAATGGGGTAAAACACACACCCCTGTCTGCCATCCTGGGAAATTTGATCAAGAAGAAAAAGTCATTTGTTAAAACTGTAGGCTTTCCTCAGAATAGCAATGGGTTCCCAGAAGGTGACTGGCACAATAAACTGGACTGTCCCTTAGGCTCAGGGAGGCCTCAGCTTCCTTGAACCTGTATGTGCACAAAGGTCCCTTCCTGCCTTAAAGTCAGAAACTGAGAGGATGCCCTGCCTTCTTACCAAGCATATGTACTGTCTGCTCTGGATTTTGCTACCAAATTGGCACAATTGGAAGGAATGAACCTTCTAATTGTCAGTTGATTGGCTATGTGAATGTTAAGACAGTTGGTCAATTTGGGGCGCCCTTGAGCATGTTCTAAGTGTAGAGTGAGAAAATGGAAGCACTCATAAACAGCAGGATTTGAATTCGCTTGGGGTATGTCGGTTGAGAGTGGGGAACCCTGTTAGTTTGAATTCATGCTGGCCCATCCTGCTCTTGAGATCATAGAAAGTTTTCTGCACATGAAGGCAAATCTGTGCTTGCTGTGTCTGGGTGGGAGTAGGGGTGGGTTATTAATAGGGAGAGGCATTATAGTGCTCTGGAAACCACTTGGGCTTTGGGCCCAGGCAAACCTGATTCTATTCTCTGCTTTCTGGCTATATGACCTTGAGAAGTCACTAGTCTCTTTGAACCTTATTTTCCTTAAATTTAAAATGGATACCAAATATGGCATTTGGCAGGTGCTCAATAAATGGCAGTTGTCATTGTAATTGCATAATCATCCATTTATAGGCACCATTAATAATGATCATGGTACCAATTTTGCCATTGATAATGGAAAAATATGCCATTGAATTAATTACATCTTTCCAGAAACAAAGAAACATGACTTTAAATGTATAAACTTAAAAATTGTTTGCAGTGGTGCTCAATAATTCATATACTTACCTATGAGTTGCTGTTTCTGTATAACCAATGTTTGGAGTATAGGTATTTTTCACATTAAGAAAGCTCTATTTCATATTTGCTTCTTGGAACTTATGTGTAACTTCAGAATTATGTCCTGTTTTTCATAAAGCAGATTACTCGTGATCTTGATCCCTTTAGGACCTTTAAGATTGGCAGTGCAATTTTGAGGTTTATCAAAGAATAGTGGGGCTTGGTCTACATTTTCTCTTTGGCTAAACTCATAATTTTTTTTCTCCTTAATTGATCATGTCTCACTGGAAATTAAATAGCTGGAAGCTTCTGACAATTAGATGTTTTTCATTTGAATGCTAGTCCTTTAGGCTTTGAAAATTCTATGTCTGTCCCAGGAGATTTAGTGATTTCTACCCCCTTTAATTACATTGTGTGTGATAAGCAATCTCTTGCATGCATAACAACCTTTCCTTTCAGTACTGTTTTATAGTGGAATTTAAAAATGTATTTGAAATAATATTAGGGATCTTGAGTTAAAATTCAACTGCATATGATGTTAACAGTTGCAGAAAACTCAACTGCGTTGGTAATCTAATAACTTGTGTTCCGCTGACTCCATACTTAACAGCATGTCAGCAATTATGACTTACTCTGTGTGCTGCCCACAGATTTCTTTGAACATATATTAAAAAAGCCAGATTTCAGACATTAACCTGTAAAAAACACATGCATCTTAAAATAGAGGAAATGTAGTATTTTACTGTTAACAATGAGTATAAGTAACAGTGGCCAGCCCTAGGCAGCTTCCATCTTGGAAGTTTGCAAGTATAAGTTCTACAGTCAAAGGGGCTGAGTTTGAATCTTGACTTTCCTACTTAAACAAGCTGAGAACTTTGGGCAAGCTATGTATTTCGCACAAGAATGTATGTACCATATACAAGTAGACAGGAATTTTATCTGTCCAGTTGTCACTGCTGGAGTGGTATCAGGTTCATGGTAGGCACTGGAAAAAGTCGCTGTTGAATGACTACGTAAAAGAACCTCCCTATGGCTCAGTTTTCTCATCTGTAAAAGGTGAGTAATGGTAGTATAGTATCTACCTTATAAGGTTGTTATGAGGATTAAATGGGATGATATACGAAAAGTGCCTAGAATACAGGAAGTGTTCATTACTGTAAGATACTATTGTTATTGCTGCTATTATTATGGTTATTACTACTAGCACTGCACCTAGTACTAGTCATAACTGTTGACTGGGGCCTTTCTTAAGAGGAAGCTTTTCCTAGTAGCCATATTGGTCTGGGCTGTTGGTGAGACCGGGGGCCCAGTGCTTAGCAGGGTCAGAGAGTGGTTGTGACCTCATGTACCCCAGTGTCCCCAGCCCTGCCTGGGCCCCTCCCAGGGCTCAGAGACTGTTCTTCTTCCAACATCACTTGCTTTTGCCCATTCCTTATCTGCTCTACTGCCCTCAAATACCTTGAGGGCTGTGAGGGTATCTTAGTCATCTTTGTATCACACACAGTGCCTGACTCAGTGCTCCGGGAGGTGCCATGGAAGGGCTCAGCAGATGTTCCCCAAGGGATCCAGGCAGACTGGGGCTGGACTCCACCCTGAGCCAGCTGAAGTTATGGGAATAATTTTAACATTTTTCCAGAAAGTATGGACAGATAGGGGAATTCGAAGGCAGGGGAGGGCATGGATCCTTGCCATTTTTGCTCTTGTTTTTCCTTCATGTGGTTTTTATTTTAGAATTCCTATTATTTGAGAGAGGTCAAATGGATGTGATAGGAGTCACACAAAATCACTAGTTCATTGGGTAGGACCTTCCCTTTCCTCATGTCATGCTGGACCCCTGTTGAGTTCCATAGGGATGGCACCATGTTCAAGAGGTCGAAGAAGAGGCCTGGAGGCAGCAAACGAGACGTAGGGTTTATTGAGGGCGTTTACATACAGGGCTCTCCAGTGGTGGCAGGCTGGACAGGGAATCGCAACTGCTTGTAAAATGCATGCAGTTTATATAGCATCTTCACGTAGCACCCTCGTGCTAGTGACCTTCACCTGGTAACCTTCATTTAACACAAAACAAAGGGCCTCAATCCCTTGCATGTTCCAGGATGAGCTGGGGTACAGATGTTCCTCATAGGTAAGAAATGAATCTCCAGGTTCTTTATTCCTTAGCTTGGAACACTGAAAACAGGTTCTTCTTAGACCATAGGGTCATTCTCATGCTTAAGTTATCCTGTCAGGTGCATCTACCACACACTCCACTACCCTGAGGACAGAGCCAAAAAGATAAAGCAAGTCCCTCCAAGGCATCTGATTCTTCCACATGGTGGGTGTCGAGGGGTCAGGACTAAGCCTGTGAACAGACAGCATGTTAATTATATTTCCCTTTGAGACACAAAGTTCAGGTCTGGCAATGAACATCCTCAGTGACCCAGTGACCCAGGGGCAGGGTAAACAACCTTCTGGGAGAAATCTGCTTTAAGGAAAGAGATACGACTCCTGAGTTCCAGTGCAGTTTTGCCCTTGAATTGCTGTGGGGCCTAGCAAGTTACTGGACTTCTTTGAATCTTTGCTTTCCTATCTGGTAAATATATTTCTCCATCTGAAGGTCCCATACCTTCTTATGAAACACTATTGAGGCTTTTCAGAGACACCTCTGAGTGAGTCTTAACAGGGAAATGACATATATTTTAGATACTGGTTAGGAAGAAATTTATTAAGTCTCCTTAAAAAATTAGTGTTAAGTATGTGCTGGAATAAGAACTATAGGTTACTTTCTTTTTGCATTATCACATTTTAAAATGTGCTGTTGTCTCCTTAAACTGCATTTTAGGGGCCAAATTCTGATATCTTATTTCTCTGGAGGGACTGGGCCCTTATCTCCTAGGATCATTGGTGTTGCATGTCCTTCTGTCTGAATTCCTTGCCTCTCCAGCCAGGTGGTGTGGAGAGCAGGCTGGAGGGCCTCAGCTGGTGGGCTTGGCTTGCGTGATTGCTGTGGAGGCATTGCCAGGTGACTGAGCAGGTGTACCCTGCTGCCTAGGCCAAGCTCTTGGCAGCCCTGCCTTACTCTGAGGTTATCATTTAGAGTTGCCAGCTTCTCAGCCTACAAGCGGTGATCTATTAAAGCCCTAC